TTTATAATAACTTTTCATTCATACAAGTTTGGTTAAAGATCGTCGAAAGTGTTGTTAAGGATATTTGTAATTTTTTTTACATATTTCCCGCCTGTTTTACTCATTTCCAGTGCATATTTAAATAGAAGTTATCCAATGTTTGATTAATTTCGGCTTTTATCAAGCATAATCCTGATTTCTTTTTTCTTTTTTTTTTCTACGATATCAGATTTCATAGTTTTCAAGTATCGCGTTTTCTCGTTTTCACGTGAAAATAATATTAGAATCAAGAAAGATACATTCAAAACAACAAATAAACTGTTAACAAACACGAACATCTCGTTAGAGAATAATATAAGAGTACTTAACTGTTATGTAATATCAACAGCAGCGAATTCTGGACAGTTTTCATTACAGATGACTAAACGAACAGAGGCCAAAAAAGTATGGTTCTATAAACGGAAGATGTGTAGCAACGTGGATATTCTAAGCAAATTAGGAACAAAAGGACACTTGTATTTAAGATCAGAAATAGGTAGACGAAATTACTAGGACACATAATGTGGAAAAGGGTTTGAAAGATTTGAATATCACACGTCATACTGAAAGCAAGATGGGTGGATGGAAGCAGTGTTTAACCTGGCTGAACAGTTATAGAGACCCGTGATTATTAAGCACAAAAGGGAAATGGCCCATGAAAAAATCCTCTTCTATACAAAACTGAATACATTTTTTCAGGTGCATAGCATGAGGGTTGCATCATCACCGGGGAAGATTTGAAGAGATGGGGTCTTAGTCCTCTCTAGTTGATAATGCTTCTTACTCGGATTGAGGAATCGGAGTGCCTAGTTCGAATTCCAGTCGAATCTATGACATTCACTTACTTTCCCTTGGGAAAGGTATGAATAGTCATCTTCTTCCCCCAGCTATGGGCAAATAGCAGGACAGACTGAGTTCTGTAGACTTCGATGGTAACTGGTCTACCGCAGAAAGAAATGGCAACTTACTAAGGGAGGGTGGAATCTGCCTCGTCAGTCATGTATCGAAAGATACATGATCCCCTAAGCGTGTATCACACATGGCAGATAACTAATTAACAATAATAGCTAATCCTGAATGCCTAGTGCAACTGTCCTACACTAAGAAAATATGACACATATCTGCAAAAGGTTTATTATTACATAGTATAGTTGACTCCCACCCAAGCCTCATTTCCTTTGTTGCCCCAGGGTCCCAACATTACGTCTTAATTAATTTTGATACAAGCGACTTTATACTATTTACATTATTCGGACTATCGTGCTCATATTTTCGCCATATTTATTACAATGTTTCGGCCCTTTATTTCGCTGACTGGGCTAGACTGTTCTAGTTCCACGTGCCATGTCTAATGGATGTCAGTTATCAGTTATCTCCTGTTAATTCCTCTCCCTAAATTCTTCAACGCCTTAACCGGGTATTGAACTCTCACTCTTTGTACTAACCAACGCCTTTATCCACTGTGCCACGTCTCCCTGAGGACATCTGTGTATGAATTTCTGGGTATTATAAAACTAATGTCTTTAGCAACCATTTTTACCAGTGCTCATATTGCAATTTTTGCTGTTATCATTCCATGTTTTTACCAAAGCTCATATTGCAAATTTTGTTGTGATCGCTTTTCTCTGGCACTCTTTATTACTGATTTCCATATTGTATTTATTTCTATGCTTGGCCGGCTCAGGAGATTTTTGAGGCCTAGCATATGTGCTGATTCCTTAAGTTTACGAATTTTCCAATGGTGTACTTTGTCTATAATCTCAACCTGATCCCACAGAGGGCGGTGATCTCACTCTGTGGGATCAGGTTGAGATTATGTTTATAATACCCAGAAATTCATAGAATGTGAGTTCAATACCTGCCTAAGGCGGTGGAGAATTTGGAGAGGGAATTAAGCGGGAGATAACTGATAACTGACATCCATTAGACATGGCACGTGGAACTAGAACAGTCTACTCCAGTGAGCGAAATAAAGGGTTCAGTTTGACATTCCAACCACCTGAAGAAGGCCGGAGCGTACAACGGCCGAAACGTTGTAATAAATACGGCGATAAAGATGAGAACAATACTCCGAATAATGTAAATTGTGTACATAATACCTCATCTCAGAAATATAGACAGATACTGAAGCGACTTTATATTCTAACATTGTTTCAGATATGCAGCAAAGATATCATAAGTAGTATTTATTAACCACGACCCACTAGAGTGTCGTTTTGTACTTGAGTCTATTTTACAACCCAGAGTCGCATACGACCTACCTGTGGGTTATTTGAAAATTCCAAATATACAATTATTACATTGACACTAACTTTCATTTTCTATATTAAAAAATATTTTGTTTTTTTTGGGGTTTTTTTTGAGAAAAATATGAGTCTGGTGTCCCATGAGCAATCAATGATAGCATCCCACCCCCAATAATCTTCAAAAAAAGAAATTGTAAAATGACCCGCTGAAGAGCCGTTTGAGCCTTGCAGACAAACCACCACGATCCTGCAGTGTGTCATGTTGTAGCCAACGTATTAAGATCAGAAATAAACAATTGAAATTTCTAGGTCAAACGAGGGCTTGGAGAATTTGAAACTCACAAGACATAGTGAAAAGAATAGGGACCTATGCAAAGATCGAGTAACCTACGTAAAGAGATTGTGAAAATGGAGAGCAGAAGATGGACAGGAGAGACATGGCGGACTTTGTCCATTTCATAATGTGTGACGTCATTTTTTTAATTTAGATACGCATCGAACAGATATGAATGTACGTGAGAAAATCATGGAAAATTGTTGTTTAAAAACATTAAAATCGACCTTGCTAACCAAAACGCTCCTCTGTGACTCAATCGGTAAAGCACGTCAGGCTATATGACGGTTCCGTATAGGATACAGGTTCGATTCCTGTCGGACGACACATATTTTCTATGACAATTTCTCGGACATTTAGGCCCGTTAATACTGTTTATTATAAACAGAGCATTTACTTAAATATTTGTATCTATAAAAAAGAATGTATAAACATAAAAATGTTTCAAAATAATTAAATTACTTATAAACTTTAAATCAAATTTATACCATTAGAAAAAACAGGGCTTATTAAAGTATAATGTAATTTTTTTTTCTAATACATTCAAACGAAGATATCGTTGTTTGAAATCAGCATTACACTGTTATCATTTATTGTTTCATTATATCCTTGACTGAATTTATTTATGTCATATAGGAAGAGAATGAGTAACTACCGACACTTCGAGCGTGACACTTCGGACTTATGAATAGGTTTTCCGCCAGGTGTATAAATAGCGGTGTGAAGCTGCTGACTGCGGTGATTATTGAGTGGAACTATCCAGTCGAATTAGTGTGAATTATTGTACGTCAATGATTTTCATTTTGATTTAGGATCTACCGGACCTTAATCCGAACCGCGCTGCTAACAAGGTATTCATTGAAGTGGTTGATTATCATTGGTAGAGCTTAACTTCTTTTTTTCTTGTTAAGTATTTATTTCCGGTTGTAATTAAATATTGTTTTATTTTAACATTGAAGTTTTGAGTTATACTTAGTTATTCACGGTCACAGTACGTCACAAAAATTTATTATAACGTTCGTCATCAAAGGATATTAACTAATGTATTCGTTACCTTACCTGTTAATGTCCCCTTATTGATAAGTCATGCTTTGGCTACATTTTGTCCCTGACTCACTACTGCGTCTAAAATCTGATTTCATTGAGAAATCCATATTGTTCTATTCTAGGCTGACACAACGTTGTGGAAGATCTTGTACGTTGTAAATGAAGATGTAAAAGATTCCATTGTTAATAATAAAAAAAAAAAATAATGGCGGAAATAGTTATACCTTCATCTAAATTCCATGCTGAGGCGTAGCTGAACAATAGGTTAAGAGCACAGCAAATAGAATTCACGAACAGAGTTCAAATTCCAACTAAGATCATTTTTATTCCTTTTAATATCAGACCGCAGTGCAAGAAATGATTCCATGTCTTTTCTGTCCAAAACTATAGATAAAATAACAGAACAGACTTGTCGCTTTAGCCTTGATTGGCAACCAATCTAGGTGAATTAAAAATCTAAATTCAAAACTGTGGAACAAAAAACCATTCCAATATCTTTTCCAATAACAGTCATGCCAAAACAGAGTTTACAGATATTAAACAAAAAGAAACCTGTGGAGAGCCATATTTTCTTATGTTCTGAAGTGAACAGCAAATGACGTTTCATGCTGAATAGATTTGGCATGTTCTCGAAGATAATTCCCAAGAGATAATTCCCAGATAATTAAAATCAATTTAACGGTTTTCCCCCCGATGAAAATTATTACTGAGGTTCAAATTATGCCCTAAATGGGAAATTTTGAAAGTGAAATTATAAAACCTGAACGACAGGTTGTGTATCTAGGTAAACTCTACCAAAAACATTGTTTGAAAAACGTTTTCAGTCCAGAAGCTGTAACATCAACTTTAGTTGAGTCACAAAAATATCATAGGCAGGTTTCAGTTGCCTAGCGTTGCTCCTGAGATGCGTCTAAAGTAAAAAAAAAATGATTTCTTCATTACCTGTATTTAATTGAGAAACGCGATCTGGGATGCATTTTGCTACAGTTGCTCTCTCAATCAAGTATCGTAGCTCATTAGCCACGAAATGGCTAATTAGATGCGAGGAAAAAAAAGCACACGAGAGAACAGGATATACTACATCGTTAATTGCTTTCCATTGCCCGGAGATGCCATGTTGATTGAAATGTTGTTGGCCAACAGGACATTGTTTTTCGCTTAGACTCTTCGATCCATCAAATCCTAGAAAATGACTTCGAAATAATATTACGCTCAGACTAATCACAGGATTGCTATTAGATGCCATGTCACTTCAGGATATAGACGATGATGGCTTTCCACAGCTTCCTTTTATTTTCATCCACAACTTTCTATTCATTTTTCAACAGTTCTCTCTTCGAATAGTGGCTTACGGCAACGTCACGTTGAAACACAGGTTCTCTTACGATCACTGAAGTTAAGCAACATCAAGCCTGGCCAGTACCTTGGTGAGTGATCTCTTGGGAATAGCAGGTCCTGTAAGCTTGGATGTACGGGTGGTGTAATGGGTAATGGCTCGAAATTGGAAATCGGAGAGACGAGTTTCAATTCCAAATGGGTTCGTTATTTTCACTTAGGCACAATACCCTTGGGAAAGGCATGAAACCATCTTTTATATCCACCTCAACTATGGGTTAATTGGTAGGACTTGTATCAGTAAAACATAATTATCTCCAAAAGAAATCTTACTCGCTAAAGATATATATTTTTCTTGGCTTTAAATAACCTGCGAAAGTTTGATAAACTTTAAAAATCTAATATTTTCTTCTGTTTCAGGGTTCAATCGTTACCTATTTTTCTTCAAGACAAGAGTCAATAGTTGTATATACTTCTTATCCTCATAATATTCACTTCCAACCACCCCCTCTTTCATTCCCATTACACACCTCCTCCGTCATAACCATTTTAGCACTTCTACATTGAGTGGCTCTCGAGCCTTGTACTGAGTGAACTTTGGTATAAAATCTACCAGTGAATTGTCGTGACGTATCCAGAACGAATTCTGAGTATTCCTTTTCTTAGACTGGGTTCTAGCCAAGGCTAGATAGCCCAGTCTACCTTGCTATTTAACCCATAGTGAGTAACGGAAGAAGACATGTATTCCCAGGGGCCTTATTCTGAAAGTGAATTTAACAGATGAGACGGAATCTGAACTGTCTTTTGCAGAAGCTATATGACTAAAAGATTGCAAACATTGTAAAAGTGAATATTGCGAAAAGCGCTTATATTTTACATAAAATTAATCTATTTTGGTTCCATCACTTGTGTGCATTTATGAAACTTTTGTTGAAAGAGTAATTGACAAGTTGTGACCAACAGAATTGATAAAATCTGTCTATGTATTTTGACACGGGACTTTGCATCAACTCTCGCAGCAAGAAATCACGTTTGATCCCCACACGTGAGCCTGAAACTGAGCGATTTTAAATTGGATTATCATTTTGAATTATCAGTTGAATAAATTCATATCAATAAGAATTTTTCCACCGTTATAGGTTCACAGTAATATTTTCTGAGATCATTTAGGAAATTAAATTGCTTTATTAATTGAAAACAACTTCTAACAGATCCTAAAACTTCTACAAAGATTTCGAGTTTCTCTCTTCGTAACTCTATGCCTGTCGTTTGAGAAACACCCGGTCTAATAAAAATGGAAACTTCCAAGAATTCTCATTAAATATTGAAATAATATGAAGAAATGTTGTCGGGATTCCAAATCTGTTTGCAGACACCGAAAATAAATTTATTTTTTTGTGACAAAGTAAAATGAGATATGCAAAATGATTACACTTTTGTGTCTGTCTATATTTCAGAGATGAGGTATTATGTACACTATTTACATTATTCGGACTATTGTCCTCATCTTTGTCACCATATTTGTTACAACGTTTCGGCCCTTCAGTATCTGTGTATATTTCTGAGATGAGGTATTATGTACACTATTTATATTATTCGGACTATTGTCCTCATCTTTGTCGCCATGTTTATCACATTGTTTCGGCCCTTCAGTTTCTGTCTATATTTCTAAGATGAAGTATTATGTACATTATTTACATTATTCGGAGTATTGTCCTCATCTTTGTTGTCATATTTATTACCACATTTCGGACGTTGTACGCTCCGGCCTTCTTCAGGTGATTGGAATGTCGAAATGAACCCTTTCTTTCAATCACTGCGGTAGACTTCTCTAGTTCCACGTGCCATTTTTTTAATGGATGTCAGTTATCAGTTATTTCCAGTTAATTTCCATCTGAAAGTTCTCCACCGCCATAACCGGGTATTGAACTCACACTCTTTGGATCCTAACTAACGCCTTTATCCACTGTACCATGTGTCTTCAACTGTGAGTTCAATACCCGGTTAAGGCAGTGGAGAACTTTCAGAAGAAAAAATTTACACGAGATAACTAATAACACTGTTGGAGGATAATAAAAATATACTTTTGACCTGTTATATTATTTATGGATTATTTAATCTCGTATCATGTTGACGAAATCCCGCAATTTCATCGACTAGTTAAAGGAATAACCAGTCACCCCCATGAATGATTACACTATCGGTAGTAAGTACCTATAGAGTCCACTGTCTACGAGAGACTCGACAGAGGAGTGTGATAGATACGAGTTTGTTTTGGCCCCCACTTTTTCATCTCGACTGGGTCAGCTTTTATATTTTCCCATGTCCGTATATATTTTCTCCTTTTCCCGCCCACTTAGCGAGAAGGCTTCTTGATTTTGTCCAATGGGCAGAATATAGAGGCCTCTATTTTTTGAGGGTTGGACGGGCCCTACTGGCATCAGTTATGTTTAGTTTGCTTTTTTTAATATTTAGTTTGTTATTGGGTTCATCTCCCACCCGTCTCATTCTTCATAGTTAGATTTTTACATATAATAATTTATTATCATTAAATTTTTATGGCATTGGGCGCGTTTTTGTACGTCTCCCTTGAGTGAATGTTGTATTATGGCGTATGGAGGATTGATTGGTGACGGAAGAGTTTTTATGGTGAATGTGGAAATTGTAATGTGTGAATGGGTCGTGAAGTGGATTAGCTAGGTATAAGATAGATAGTGATTACCAGCCTCAGCCCCTCCCTTTTTTTGCCTTGTGCCAGAATTATGTAATTATACATAATAAATAGCGGAGTGTGATAGAGACGACACAAGCACGTCCAACCTTCTAATTAGTGGCACTCACTACGAGATTGACTTGTGTGTATAACTGTACAGTATTTCATATTGTTTCATTTTTTTCTTCTAGTATCCACCTGGTGTTATGTTTATTCCCTTAGCACGGAATATAATAGTTTTATTCATTACAGATTTTTGGAATCTAACAAGAACATCAATGCCGAAGTTTACTGCCAGAAACAAGATGAAATGCAGATTCAGTTAAACGAAAAGCGACCGGCACAGGTTATTCACGGTTTAAGTCTGTTTCAGGACAATGTTCGGCCACATATTACAAGGATGTCACTGCAGAAGATCATTGTCTTGGGATACGAGACTTTGCCACATTCACCATATTCCTCTGAACTCTCACCCACTACCACTTTTTCAAGCATCTTGACAATTTTTAAGCCAAAAGACATTCCATTCGAAAAAAGATGCAGAAACTCCATTCAAAGATTTCTTCGCGTCCAAAACTTTAGAGTTTTATCGTAAAGGCATAAATAATCTTGTAACTCGATGGCAGAAATGCTTAGATGTTTAGGTTTTCTATTTTAAACACAGTTTGAATATATTAATTCGGGACTCAAATTGATTCGAAGATCGAACATTATTTTCCGAACAACCTAATAACATTTTAGGAATATAATTAGATTTATATGGACAATATATATCATGTGGGTTTTTTGCGTAGACTCTCAAACCTTATTAAAAATATTGATAAAATTTTTCTTTTGACGATTCCAATTTAAATTTTCAAACGAATATAAGTGTAACTCGAGGCCGCCCAAAAATATTTGTCACAGGAACATTTCTTTAGAAAAAAGAAAAGAAAAAGAGCGTTGAACAGTGAGGTAATATCAATTATCATATAAATATATATATATATATATATATATATATATATATATATATATATATATATATATATATATATATGAAGAAATATAGTTTTAAGGTGTGCTATATTTATGGGATGAAGTGCACAATATCAGAGATAGAGCGTATGTAAATATGAATATAAAAGTCAACATTGAAGTCAACACTCAGAGGTAACAGGCTGTTTCATGCGAGATGCAATTGTCAGGCCATGAATGCTGGATATTTCCTCGGCTATTTATACACACACACATACACACACACACATATATATATATATATATATATATATATATATATATATATATATATATATATATATCTGGGTGAGTGGCGCATTGTGGGTAATCTATTGTGCCAGTTATTTTGCGGGAGTGTATGGTTTTTATTTATTTATTTATTTGGGTTAATTTATTTTTCTTGTTTTTCATTTTCATTTTCTATTATTTATTCTTTTCGTTTTTTTTGATGTTTTATTAACGTAGTAAAACATTTGCATGGGGCGGGGATTTGCTTAGGTCTCTTATTTAATAGTTTATTTTGGTCTGGGATGATAATTAAAGCTTTTTATTCGTCCAATGTTCGTAGTCTGTCTCGTGCATTTTGCCCGATTGAAACATACAATTGGATAAATTCTGTATTATTTATTTTTTTTTTTTTAGCTTTCTATTTCCGACACGACCTCAGTCTATACCAGGGTTGAATAAGAATAGTTCCATCAGTCGACATATGAGGTGATTTAGGATTTTATTGTGTATTAATTTTTGCTCTGTAATAATAAATATACTTTTTGTGGATCTGTTTTAATATTTTATATTACTAGGATACACTTGGATCAACGATTTTATTACATCTACTATAAAATTAGTGGCCATCAATGCTATTAACGCACTGGTTTTCATTAATCAATCGAGCACTGATGGCTACCGGCATTTGTTTACATCCGTATACAATACGTTAGAAGTTACCTTCCTTTCAGACGTGTGCCGATAGCTTAGGGTTAGGATCTCAGACTGATGCCGAATCGATAGGGTTTCGATCCCGACTTGGAGGTGATGAGCTGTGATGTAGCGAAACAGGCCAGTATGTGGAGAGGCATATTAAATATGTATATATAATAGCAATTTTTACCTATCATAATTTTACACAGACCCCACCACACGCATATACGTGCATGCGAGAAAATATTATTCAAAGAAAAAATAGAAAAATGCTCTGATTGCTGACATGTATACATTCACGAGAAATTTTCGCTGCATTTCCAATCTTTGAATTTCAACATACAAATGTGTATATCAATTATCATATATATATATATATATATGAAGAAATATAGTTTTAAGGTGTGCTATATTTATGGGATGAAGTGCACAATATCAGAGATAGAGCGTATGTAAATATAAATATAAAAGTCAACATTGAAGTCAACACTCAAAGGCGACAGGCTGTTTCATGCTGGACGCAATTGCCAGGCCGCGAATGCTGGATATTTCCTCATATTTATACACACACACACACACACACACACACACACACACACACATATATATATATATATATATATATATATATATATATATATATATATATATATCTGGGTGAGTGGCGCACAAACACCACCCATATACATACATATGTCAAATCCGAAACTGTCCACATATGTTTATATATGTATGAGCCCCGGCGGACGAGCGAGTGTGTATGTGTGTCTGCGTACCTCATCGGGTGTACGGACATGCATCTATGTTTGCGTTAGCATGAGTGACATCACGACGACGATCCCCCCTCACTTCCATAATAACACCAATACACGCAATCTAAATAAACGCAAAATTTTAAAAAAAATTAATCAGTTTGTCTGACGATCGCAAATGCGTTAAACCCAGGGTCACAAACTCACATCAATCGAACCAAATATATATATATATATATATATATATATATATATATATATATATATATATATATCATTGATAAAAGATAAACGCTATTCAAGAAGATGGAAGATGGCGATTGACGGTACTATTAAACTTTTGAAGATTATAGTTTTCAAAGAAAGAAGCAAACAGAAAGGAATTCTAGAACTGTTTTAACTATTTCAACAGTAAACGGGTGGGACCTAAATGCCAATCTAGTATCACGCTTAAATTCATGCAGTCGGGGCAACAGAGGAAAAGGTTCTTGAGAGCAGTTGCTATGAAAATATTTATAGAAAAGGCAGCGGGAAGCCACGGCACGTCGTTGAGAAAGTGACTGAAGTCGAGAGGCTAAGTCAGAATCAATTACATCACAGATCCTTCTTTGGATTTTGTCAAGAGTAGACATCTTCATTACAGATATAGAGGCGACTTAAGGCAACAAAAATGTGACTCTACAGAAGGATGTTGAGAATATCATGGATTAAACATTTAAGAAAAATGAAAATGAAAGGAATATCTATATTTGAATAAGAGATAGGCATTTGAAATTTCTAAGACATACAATAAGGAAAGAAGGCTTGGAAAGATTGACATTCACCGGACATTATTAAAAGCAAGACGGAAACAGCGATAGAATCATCTAACAGGACTGATTAAATAGATGGTGGAACAGGGAATGGGAGAGATAACTAAAAAGAAACCATACTAAGGACTAGAAGAGATAGAAACATGTAGAGAGCCATGAGCGTCCACACCCTGAAGAGACACGGCAAATTGGGTTTCGAGTCATTCTATAACCTTCATCAGTCTTTTATTCATTATTTTTTAAATTTTCCTTCTTTTTTTAATTTAATATTAATTCCAACAGTTTTAGTTTTATCTTTCTTCTTAAATACACCCTGGTTAGGTGCCTGGAAGGGGGTCGCGCTTCCGGGGTCCTTAGGTTGGACTGTTGGACGCGTCCGCATTTTTGGAGTTTGGTTCGGCCCAGACTCTAGCTGGAGGAGTATTGGTCAGAAGTACAGACAAAGGTCGAAGCGTCGTTTCGGGCTTGGCTTCGAAGGGGGTTGTCCTTGAAGGGTAGGGCTGAGGCGTGTGCCACTAACGTCTTGCCCCTCATACTTTACCGCTTGGCTGTACTTCCTCTTTGCGGGGGCGATCGAGCGTTCGTTGACTGACCTTTTGTGGGGTGATCGCAAACATTGGGTCGGTAAAGAAGCTTGTTATCAGCGTCCGTGTCATGGGGGAGGGGTCTAGGATTGCCACACCTGGCGAGTCATCGCCACACCTCGAGGTTAGCTTTCCTACGCCGCGTTTTGATGGAGGACTCTATTTTGGCAAGGCCTTCCCTAGCCTTACTATGACTCCTCCCATTTCTTGGGGTAAGCGCCGTCGCGGTTGTGGAAGGATATCGAGTTTCCTCAGCGAGTGTCGGTCGGCCTTGTGGGCCATTCCTCGGTCCAGTGACCTTTCTTCGCGTCGGAGACTATTGTATCATGAATTAGTGGAGGGGGTCGCGATGGATCCTCTGTTTGGCCGGCTCGGCTTGTCGGCATCAGAGTTGCGCTCTTTGTGGTCCTGGGCGCCAGCGGCGGATTATCTAAATAACTCTGAGTTTTCGCTTAGCTGGCGATTGATTCGGAATGTGCTACTTCTCAATGACGAACTCTTCAAATGGGGCGGGGCAGATTTGCCAGACTGTCATCGGTTTGACCTTGGTTTAGAGGAAACGGCTGGGCACGCCTTCTACCATTGTCCGCATGTGCGCCCCGGATGTCAGTTATCTCCTGTTAATTCGCTTTGAAAGTTCTCCACTGCCTTAACCGGTGTATTGAACTCACTCTTTTGGGTCCTGTCACTGGATCTAACTAACGCCTTTATCCACTGTGCCTGGACCGAAAGAGTGTGAGTTCAATACTCAGTTAAGGCAGTGGAGGACTTGGAGAGGGCAATTAACAGGAGATAACTGACATCCATTAAACATGGCACGTGGAACTAGAACATTCTACCCCTGGGAGCGAAATAAAGGGTTCATTTAAACATTCCAACAAGCTGAAGAAGGCCGGAGCGTACAACGACCGAAACGTTGTAATAAATATGGCGACAAAGATGAGGACAATAATCCGAATAATGTAAATAGTGTACATAATACCTCATCTCAGAAATATAGACAGATACTAAAGGGCCGAAATGTTGCAATAAATATGGCGGCAAAGTTGAGGACAATAATCCGAATAATATAAATAGTGTACATAATACCTCATCTCAGAAATATAGACAGATACTGCAGTGCCGAAACGTTGCAATAAATATGGCGGCAAAGGTGAGGACAATAGTCCGAATAATGTAAATAGTGTACATAATACTTCATCTCAGAAATATAGACAGATACTGAAGGGCCGAAACGTTGTGATAAATATGGCGACAAAGATGAGGACAATAGTCCGAATAATGTAAATAATGTATATAATACCTCATTTAAGAAATAAAGACAGATGCCTCCTTACTGATATGGCAGTCCCTGCAATGTATCTTTGAAGATCTTCAAAAAGCTGTCAAAATACAAGGACCTTGAAATCGAAATCTCAAAAATGTGGCACATGAGAACATCAACAATCCCTGTTGGATCCATCGGACTGATTGCAAAAGATTCCAATAAACTCATTGAAGGGATTCCTGGAAGGCCATGCCTTAAAGAGATACAAACAATTGTTCTCACTAGTACTGCCCACACCTTACGAAGGTCTTTATCTTTGTTAAATATGCGCGTTTTATTTAATTGCTCAGTGGAAAATGTTTTGTGATATTTCTGACCTTAGGTCTCTGGACGGGACTCGGAAAGAAATGTGTACACACCAGGAATCGAAGGAAATAAAATAATAATTTATTCTCTCTGATAGGGGACATTTTCAGGGCAATATTTATCTTTCTTATAAGTTTATCTATATTCGGAATGCACCCTCTAATATCTAAGAAATATTGTGCGTTAAAAAGAGCAGCTGATTTACTCAAAGTAATAATGACAAAACCTGTAATTAGAATCGGAGAAGGACAATGACATGATATTAAGCATTAAGATGGAAGTGCGTTTCTTTCTGATATTAACATCCGAGGAGTATAAAGTGTGATTGGTGATAATTGCAGGAGATAGTAGCAAGAATGTGACTTTCTTGATATTGCGTTCCAGCGAACCTGACCCATATCTACAGCTAACCTATTGGAAATGTCGATGCGTATGGACGATATCGATCTGAGCAATCGATCCGAGTATCGATCACCTTCTTAAGCTGATCCTTCAGAACTATATCTTGACATTCTATTTTTCTCTCAAACCTCCTTCCTCCCTCTCTCTTTCTTTCTTTCACATTCTCTGTCTCTCTCTGTCTTTCTCTCTCTATGTCTTACGTAATCTTTCTTTCTTTCTTTATTTTCCTATATTTCTTTATTTTCTATTTTATTTCTTCCTGCCTTCTCATTTCCTTTCTCTTTTTCTTTCTCTTTTTCTTTTTATTCCGCCCTCCCGTCCCTTTTCTTCCCCCCTGTTTTCTTTTGATTTCTCTCTTCGCTCCTCCCCCTCCTCATACTCTCGATCTCTCCCTCTTTCTCGCCTTTGCCTTCTTTTCACTTCCGATAATGTATTAAAATTTCTATTTTATTAATGCGTCGTATTTATTCCCACTAGGCTTTAACTTCTTCTGTATCGAGATCACAGTCTTTATCTGCTGGTGATTCTATCACTCCCTTCATTGCTTCTTTTCTTACCTTCCCATCTATCTATCTATCTATCTATCTATCTATCTATCTATCTATCTATCTATCTCAATTCCATATCTATCTATCTATCTATCTATCTATCTCTCAATTCCATATCTATCTATCTATCTATCTTAATTCCATATCTATCTATCTATCTATCTATCTATCTATCTATCTATCTTAATTCCATATCTATCTATCTATCTGTCTATCTTAATTCCATATCTATCTATCTATCTATCTATCTCTCAATTCCCTATCTATCTATCTATCTCAATTCCATATCTATCTATCTCAGTTCCATATCTAGCTATATATCTATCTATCTCTCAATTCCATATCTATCTATCTATCTATCTATCTATCTCTATTCCATATCTATCTCTCTATCTATCTATCTCAATTCCGTATCTATCTATCTATCTATCTATCTATCTATCTATCTATCAATTCCATATCTATCTATCTATATATTTATCTTAATTCCATATCTATCTATCTATCTATCTATCTATCTATCTATCTATCTATCTATCTATCTATCTATCTCAATTCCATATCTATCTGTTTTTCCCACATCTATCTCTCTATCTATCTATTTATCTATCCATATCTATCTATTTCAATTCCACATCTATCTTCATATATATATATATATATATATATATATATATATATATATATGAGAGAGAGAGAGAGTGAGAGAGAGAGAGAGAGAGAGGGAGTAATCGATAGCGATGGATTGAGAAATCGGAGAGCCGAGTTCGAAATCCAGTTGGATCCATTACTTTCAATTACGTGCTAATACACTTGGGAAGGTGAGAATCCTCTTCTTCTTCCCCCTCCCCACAACTATCTGGGTTCTATAGCCTTGGATGGCAACTGTTCTTGGAGAAAGAAAACTATGAATTTAAGACCGACCTGGAGGCAAAACTTGATGGGCAGATATGGGTTCTGGGGCCTTGCTAGGGGAGGGTCACTCCGAAATATAACCCGCATCTATACACGTCGCTTAGGACGTGGCAGGAAGAAGATGGCGGACATTGAACAAGAGAGTGGGACTGGGAATACACAAACCTGGCTGTCCTGCAGGTCATTCTATGACACGAGATGAATCTTCTACTATCACGAAAGGACTCATTGTAATGTAATTCGTTGGTTCACAACACAAGAATATATATATATATATATATATATATGAAGAAATATAGTTTTAAGGTGAGATATATTTATGGGATAAAGTGCTCAATATCAGAGATAGAGCGTATGGAAATATAAATATAAAAGTAAACATTGAAGTCAACACTCAGAGGCGACAGGCTGTTTCATGCTTAACGCAACCATCAGGCTGCGAATGCTGGATATTTCCTTGGCTATTTATATATATATCTATGGCAGCATTCGCGGCCTAAAGATTGCGTCCAGCATGAAACAGCCTGTCACCTCTGAGTGTTGACTTTCAATGTTCACTTATATATATATATATTGACCCAAGCCTCGTGATTGAAATTGGGTAGACCGAACCCTTGGGAGATGTCGATAGCTGTGCTAGCACGAAGTCACAAGTCATCGTGACCGAGGGTTTGATTGCGCTGTCCTTGTTCAGATTGCTTATGACGCTAGATAACACACTCTCTCCTAGAAACTGTAACTAAGGTCCGCTGAGCATAGCTACAGTATAAACCACAAATGGGCTATGTCGATGATGAGCGAGCGTTTGCAATAAGGATTGGCTAGCCTCCCTAATAGACGGCTATCCTTGAATACATTTGCCATATATATATATATATATAAATGCATGTTTCATTAAATAATATAGACAAGTTTTGTCTATTGATTTTAAACAAATTCCTTTCATCGCCTAATAAGCTTAATAACATTATCACGAAGACGAAACAAAATCACCATATTGATACATGTTTTTAATCCTATCTAAGTTTTCGGCTTACAAAAGCCATCTTCAGATATGACAAGTAAATTACAAATAATTAAACAATACACGGACGTAGCAACCATGATAGTCGGTTTTGTTTGGATGGAAGATTTCCAAGCAATGTCAAGCATACGAGCCATTGGAAGCGAAAATCGCACCGCGTCCCATGACATCACACATGACCACGCGAGAGTGAAAACGAGAAGTATTAAGTATGGGAGCCTTTGGTATAAACCAATGGCTTCTGTTATCAATTATAGGCATTTAAGTATATTTGTCGAGTTTTCATGGTTTATTTTGTTCAGGTAACATTTTTTCTATATATAACTTCAAGAATTTTTTGTTTTTGTTTATTGTTTTCATGTTTAAGTATAGTTGTGTTTTCAACGAGGATTTTCCGGAATTGTGTTTGCGGCCAGGCATGTTGTTTTAAATGCCTATAAATGATAGAATTATCATTCAAATGTAGTGTCAAGCGTCGTGAAAGCGAGTTTGTGGTATGACCAACATAAATATTATTTAATCCATTGAAGATACAATCTCCCAAAAGGCACTTGATCTAACTGAGTATATATATATATATATATATATATATATATATATATATATATATATATATATATATATATATTCATGCATGTTTCATTGAATAATATAGACAAGTTTTTTCTATTTATTTTAAGTAAGTTCCTTTCATATTGTCTGATAAGTTTAATAACATTATCATTGAAAGAGGAAAGGAAATCACCATATTGATACATGTTTAAATCCAATCTAAGCTTTCGGCTTACATAAACCATTATCATAGATGGCAATTACTTTTCAATATATCAGCCAATACACGGAACAATAATGATAGTCTGTTTTTGTTGCATGAAAAATTTCCAAGCAACGACAAACTCGTGTATACGAGACGCGGAAGCGAAAATCGCACCGCAGCTCGTGACGTCACACATGACCACGCGAGAGTGAAAACGAGAAGTATTAAGTATGGAAAGCCGTTGGTATAAACCAATGCCTTCTGTTATCAATTATAGACATTTAAGTATACTTGTCTAGTTTTCATAGTTTATTTTGTTCAGGTTAGGTTTCAACCGTTTTATATATATATAGTTTCTCGTTGCTTGGAAATCTTCCAAAATCTTGTCGCACTGAGTCATATACAAAATACAAATCCAAGACAAATCCATACGTAGAGAGGGGCAAACTGAGACAGTTACAAAAAAAGATTAATGCACATCAATACTTTAATGAGTACAAACATAGCTCGATAAAGAAAAAAAACAAGATAAATCGTTACATAAATAAGATTAGACCGAGACATTCTAGAAGAGATCAGGTGGGATAGATATATAAATAAATACGGAGTCAGATAATCAAGAACATACCACGACAAGAGAAGAAAATGAGCCAGGTAAATATGGATGGATCAAGCAAATCAATAACTAGATAAGATTGAGAGAGATAGATGTGAAAAGATCAAGATAAATCGATAAGATCAGACTGAGACACGAAAAAGACTTTAGGAAAAATCGATACTTGAAAAACATCTGAGTCAGATACCCAAGAACAGAGATAAGATCAATCAATACATAGGGTTCAAATAAAATGGCCGAGATGAATCGATACATTCGATGAGGACAAATTGAGTCAGTTACATATGCAAAGATCAAAATAAACTGTTACAAAGACAGGATCAAACGGAGAAAAAATAAACGAAACAAAAAATGAAATCTAATAAATCGCTCTATATAGAGAGAGTTTCACAAATCGATATAAAATTAGGGACTGACTGAGACAGATATGCAAGAGTCAAGGTAAATCGATTTATAGGATCAGTTTAGTCATAAATTAAATATAACCAGATTCATCAAGATAAAGATAAAGAACAAATTTAGTCGGAGAGTATTCATTTACGATGTCCTTGGATACCTGAACAAACCAAAACAAAGATATAGACGAAGACAAACACAAAAACGACCTAATTAAATCTCTATATATAGTGAGTCAGTTTGGGGTACCTCGATGTGGTGTAATGGTTAGGAAGCTTGTCTTGCTAGATTGTTTACTACTGAGTAGTGAGTTCGATCCTCACTGGGTGCCCCGTACTTTCGGCCTTGTGCTGCATCTAAGCTGCGCTTAGAAAATCACAATTAATGTGTAAATTATTCTTTTTGAGTGATTTCACGTCTACTTATCATCTCTCAGTTGCGTCTCTGTCCTTGGACAGAGTACGCTCAGGAGCTTCTCTGTCAAAGGACAGAGGACCAACTGAGAAAATAATACCGAAAAGGTGCCCAGCTCTGGGAAACAGCTACCAGAGGCCGCGCCCTCCCATTGCACCAGAGGTAGGGAGCGGGGCTCGCACCGAGGCCAGCGCAACCGACGGTTGCCGGGGGCTGAGGGGAATTTTTGTTCCTTGCCCAGGTGTACGCACTCGGGTCCCCACCTAAAAATAGAACTTGTGTCACATCTCGTCCTAGTGGTGGGACAGAGTAAATACCACGTGGTGTAATGGCTAGAAAGCTTGTCTTGCCAGATCAATTACGATCAATTACGAGTAGTGAGTTCGATCCTCACTGCGTGCCCCAACACTTTCGGCTTTGCGCCACATCTAAATCCCTATAGTCAGTCAGTTATGTGCAATGCGGGATACACGCTTAAGTGACCGTGTATTTTTCGATACATGACAGATTTTTCCCGCAGTAGGTTGTTATTTCTTTCTGCGATAGACCAGTTGCCATCCAAGGATATATAACTCAGTCTGTCCTGCTATTTACCCATAGCTGGGGGAGAAGAATAGGATCCATACCTTTCCCAAGGGTATTAGCATGTAAGTGAATATAACAGATTCGATTGGAATTCGAACTCGGCTCTCTGAGCCACTATTCATTACTCCACCGTGACTCCCTCAAAGTTATTTGGGTGCCATGCGTGTATCATTCATGGCACATAACTTTCGATACATGACTAACGAGGCAGATTTTTTTTTCTCGCCGTAGGTTGCCATTTCTTTCTGCGGTAGACCAGTCTATAGAACCCAGACAGTCCTGCTATTTACCCATAGCTGAGGACAGAAGAAGAGGATTCATACCTTTATCAAGGGTATTAGCACGTAAGTGAATGTAATGGATTCAACTGGAATTCGAACTCAGCTCTCCGATTCCTCAATCCGAGCCGCTATCTCACTCACCCGACACCTCTTTCGGGATTCCCTGCGGTTGTATATTGTGCGTAATCATGCCAAATCTGGGATTATTTCTCACAAAATATACATGTTCTTTCCAACGGTCGACTGTCTCTCCAGTTGTCACCGAGACTTTTCCTCGGTCGTCATCTGGTCTATTTCCAGACGTCACAGTGTAAATCAGAATTAAATTTACGATACACTCCAGATGTCAAAAGATAACTAAAAGATAAATTAATTTATATATATGAAGTCATACTGATAAAATATAGATGGAAAGATCAAGAAAAATCTATACATATTTAAAGACAATTTGAGATAAATGAACGATAAATAGGGGTGAGTTTAAACAGAAATGAAACGGATATCGATACATTGATTAGCTAACTCACAAGAAAGGAATAACACAAATCAATACCTTCATAAGCTTAGACTGCGACAAATACAGAACAAACTAAGTCAAATATACAAATCAAGATCAAAACAAATCGATACATAGATGAGCTCGGAGGCATATTTAAACACCGCTAACATGAATCAATACGTAGATGGGGTAAGATGCATATGAAAAGGGAAAACATAAATCGATACATCGATAAACCCAAACTATCAAATACCTTAGAAAGACCAATACAAATCGATATATCATTAAGGGAAAAACGAGATAGATACGGGAAGATCAAGATAAATCGATACATAGAAAAGTACTGAGATCGAATACCCAAGAACAGAGACAAGACAAATCGATACTTGTGGCCCGAATGAGACGGATGGAGCTGAAACGCCAATAATAAATCTATGTATCGATAAGGACATATTGATTCAGATACACGAGGAAAGATCAAGATAAATCGATACATGAAGAATCCTTAGAAGGAAGCACGTTTCTAAAATTGGGAGCCCTGGGTCCTAAAACCTGAGAACGCTTCTTCATTATTCTTTGCCCAAGGCAAATATCTACATTTCCACATGTTTTTTTAAGCATTTCACCCCCAAGCAAGGGGTTACAGAGAGTGAGAGCAAAAGTGAAGAGGGGGGTGTTTGAGGAAAGGATATATAGAAGGACGGGGGATCAGGATCAAGACATCAGAAGATGTCGATTGACATTATAGTTGAATATTTGAAGATTATCGCCATCAGAGAAGCAAGTAAGGGGAAGGGAGTTCCACAGTCGGAAAGTGCGAGAGAAGAAGCTGTTGGAGTAGAAGAGGTGGTTACATTTAACCGTTTCGACAGTGAAAGGGTGGGACCGCAATGTCAACCTAGTAGAACGTTTAAATTCATATAGTTGAGATACCAGTGAAAGTAGCTCGTCAGAGCAGATGCCATGGAAATACTTGTAGAAAAGACAGAAGGAAGTCACAGCACGTCCGTGAGAAAGTGAGTGTAGAGGAGATGCCAGATCAGGACCTATCACATTGCATATCCGTCTCTGGATTTTGTCGAGGACCTCGAGATGAACAGCGGGGGCACCAGACCATATATGGCAGCAGTATTTATTGCAAGGACGAATGGTTGATTTGTAGATTTGCAGGATGGACTGAGGCGAGAAAAACCTTCTGGCGCGACGCAGAGAACCAATTTTGCTTACGGCAGATGAAGCTATTGATTATGCGTTTTAACGTAGATCATTCTTGGGCGTGGCCTCCGGTTTTTGCTGTGCTCTGATTGGCTAAACATAAGGCTCTTTAATGTCGCACTTTGTTTGTCAATGGTTAACTGACAACATTTGCAGATTGTCCTTTCTTTCGAACCGGTCAGTTCTTTCCTCAAGATGCATATATATGCATATACAGGTGTTTACAAATGAGTTCATCATCTTCACAAATACTTGAGCTACTCTGCACCGTAGAATATATATAAGAAAAGGAAATGAAATACCTCAAGTTTTAACATCTGTTCAATGTACTTCAGTTGTCAAGGCTTGGCGAAGTTTCTCATTAAAGGAAAATAAACTGATTATGTAACTAAGATAAAGTCCTCAGCTACTTCGGGATGTAAGGTTTAAATATTTTAAAAGGGGACAAAATTTAATGATTTTAAGGTTTAAAAGGTTTTTAAAGGCTTAATATATTGCAAAAGTTTCAAATTACGGTAAAGTGGCGAATCGAAAAACAAAAACGGGGCAAAGCAGCTGAAGTGGTTTTATTCTTATCTCGTCAGTGTCGCTAGTACTGAAGTATATATATATATATATATATATATATATATATATATATATATATATATATATATATATATGGCCTGACGATTGCGTCCAGCATGAAACAGACTGTCGCCTCTAAGTGTTGACTTCAATGTTCACATCTATCTATCTATCTATATATATATATATATATATATAAAATATGATTCCTTCGCTACATAAGAGTTTCCATGTTTTAAAAACAAGAGCCAAAAAGTTAATTAAACTCAAATTGCACACACACGTGTGTGTGTGTGTGTGTGTGTGTGTGTGTGTGTGTGTGTGTCCTATCTCGTGGGAACTTTTCCCGCTAACATGAAATAGAAAGATTATATTGAATCAATTGCTAGGTCTGCTGCTAGGAAAGTTGGTTCACTGTGTTGTGCCAGACAATTTTTCTCGCCAGAATCTATTTTACATATTTTTTTTCTTTTTTCTTTTAAGCATTTCACCTCAAGCAAATCGGGAGTCCCGCTAGTACGCAATAGGCTACAGACAGTGAAAGTAAGGGATAAGACTGGGTGTAGGGGGGTGGGGCGGACCGAGGAAAGGATAAAGAGAAGAACGGGGATCAAGGCATTAGATGTCGATTGACATTACATTTAAAATTTTGAAGATTATAGTTATCTGGGAAGCAAGTAAGAGGAAGGGAGTTTCACTGTCGGGAAGTGCGAGGGAAGAAGCTGTTGAGGTAGAAGAGGAGGTTGCATTTAACTGTTTCGACAGTAAAAATGTGGGTCCGGGATGCTAACGTAGTAGAATGCTTAAATACATGCAGTTGGAACACCAGTAAATATAGTTTGTCATCATTTGTCCATGTTTTGAATATTGCTACCACACCTGCTCTGGTGATTCTGTTATGTATTTAGAGATTCTTGATAAAGTCCAAAGAAAAGTCAGTAATTTTATTGGCCCTCATCTGGCATCTCGGCTTCAGTCACCTTCACGCTTCTTGTGCGTTTTTATGAATATTCTCATGGTAATTGTTCTGATCAACTTTCCGCTATGCTAGCTAAATTTTATCAATTTTAGCGCATTATTAGATTGGCGGCAAGGTCTCATCAATTTGATGTTTAAATAACAAGATGTCACCGTAAGTTCTATGCTGACAGTTTCTTGCTTTGATCTTCAAACATTTAAAATCAATGTCAATTGTTATCTTCTATCTTCTTAATTCCTGTTTCTTTTTTGCCTTCTCTCCTTAATAGTGTTTTTCTCATATCCTCTCACACTCAGTGGCTTTATTGCCTTACATGGGGTGGAATGATTACAAATGCTGTCAGTATAAGCATTTACTTTCCTTGGTGATACGAAAATATCACTTGTGTATATTTGAGTCTATAAGCATTTACTTGGTTCAGTGATAAGCAAATATTGGTCGTTTATATCCGAGTCCATAAGATTATTGGTTCGGGGATAGGTAAATATTAACCGTTTATATTTGAGACTGTAAGCATTTACTTGTTAGGCGCCCTCTTTGGGGGAAGTCTAACCCCCCACGTATAACAGGAGTAAATGAGAAGTGATTCTCATTTGCTACGTTTTATCGAATATTCCTCGCTCAAATCAACTATATGCTGACAGATGTCCGTCTCCCCGCTATCTCTGTGTTGCCAGTCTCCACCCACGGCCAAGCTACTCTACCGATACTACGTACTCTGCTTCTCCTTCTTAAAATCTCTGTCTGTTTACACAATAGACTTCCGGTGTCGTTGATTCTGCACAATCCTGACAAGTGATTGACGTGCAAGGAATCAGGATTTCCCCAACCAACATTGATTAGTAAGTTGTCGTCAAGGTTTGATTTTGATTGTCTACACCCCTAGCATTTCTTTCTCTCTCTTCAATATCTCTCTCTCTCTCTCTCTCTCTCTCTCTCTCTTTCTCTCTCCTTGTCTCTTTCTGTTTATCCCATCCCCGTCTATTTCTTTCTTTGACGCTCCTTTTTTATCCGCTCTTACACTCTTTCCCTTTCTTTCTCTCTCTCTCTCTCTCTCTCTCTCTCTCTCGCTTTGAAAGTCTATCAATCTCTTTCTCATTTACTCTCTTTCTACTACTCACTCATTTACCCCTTCTTTTTCCTCTCTCTTTCTTTCACATTATTACGTCTTTTCCTATTTAGTTTTCATTTCCTTTCTCTTTTTCCCTTTGGCATCCACTCTTTCTCCTTTTTTTTCTCTTTTCCCCTCTCTCTCTTTCACTCACTCACTCACTCACTCACTCTTTTTTTTACCCTTTACATTTTCTTTCTCTTTTGGCGTCTTTTCTTATTTTCTTTTCTCTTTGACTTTCTCTTTTTCCTATAGTTTTTTTCTTTCTCATATATTCTCTCTATATATCTCTCTCTAAGATCTACACACCATCTTTCTCTCACGCGCGCGATCTTTCTCCCCCCTCTCTCTCTCCTTCGCGCTATTTAACCTCTCTCTCTCTCTCTCACGCCCTCTCTCTCTCTCTTTCTCTCCATTTTTCTCTCCTCCTTTCTTTCATTCCTTTCCCTCTTGTCTTACGTTTCCATTTACTCTCTCCATATCTTTCTCTCTCTCTATCCTTTACTCACCTCCTCTCTCACTCGCTCTCTTTCTCCCCCTCTCTCTCCCTTCTTCTGTTCATCCTCATCTCTTTCACTCTCCTTTGACCCTCTCTCTTTCTCTCTCTTTCTCTCGATCTTTCTCTCCTCCTTTCTTTCATTCCTTTCTCTCTTGTTTTTTTCTCGTTTAATCTATCTCTTACGTAATCCTTTATTCACCTCCTTCCCCTCCCCCGTCCAATCTCTCCCCCTCTCTCTCTCTCCCTTTCTTTCACTCTAATTTCTTCTTGATATCTACTATAAGTTGTGTATGGCTTTGAGCTTTCGCAAAAGGCTGTGTGTCTGTGCGTCGACATTTTAACCCTTGCCGTCCCAAGATGGATGCTTTCCTTGCATTCATCTTTCTACTCAACGATCCGCTTCTTCCCAGTAGGAAAAAATACAAACCGTTTCAAAACGTTTTCAACTCATCAAACTTCTGTTCTAATTGTCTTTTACTAGTTGAGATAGAAACACGGCTTTTAGATTCAACAGAAATTTATTTGGTTTTGACTACAATTTTCTGATGTTGTATAGCAGCGATAAATATCGGAAGGACATTTGGTCGCATGCACAGATAGATATGCCAGAATGAGAGAAACAGATAGATAGATAGATAGATAGATAGATAGATAGATAGATAGATAGATAGATATCAAAATACTGATGTGTGATAGACAGACAGACAGACAGACAAAGAGAAAGAAAGATAAAAAATGAAATAGATAGAAAGATAGATAGAAAGAAAGTAAAAAAGAAAAACAGAATGTGATAGATAAATAGATAAATAGATAGATAGACAGACAGACAGAGAAAGATAAAAATTGAGATAGATAGATAGATAGATAGATAGATAGATAGATAGATAGATAGATAGATAGATATCAACATACTGATGTGTGATAGATAGATAGACAGACAGACAGACAGAGAGAAAGAAAGATAAAAAATGAGATAGATAGATAGATAGATAGATAGATAGATAGATAGATAGATAGATAGATAGAAATTAAAAAAGAAAAACAGAATGTGATAGATAGATAGATAGATAGATAGATAGATAGATAGATAGATAAAGATAAAAATTGAGATAGATAGATAGATATTAACAGAATTTGATAGATAAAAAGATAAAAAATGAGAAAGAAAACAAGAAAGAAAAAGGAAAAAGAAAGAAAGAAAGAAAGAAAGACAGTAAAACAGATAGATAGATAGATAGATAGATAGATAGATAATGTGAACAGAATGATATAGATTAGATTGGAAAAATGTGAGCAAATTTGCTAAGATTTCGCGTAAATTAATTGCATCCTATGCTAAAAGTATCTTCTGGAAAATGAAGTCTGAACCTTTGAAATGTACTGAACTAAACAAATATTTTTTAACCCTCAATCATTTGCTGACGACATTTTTTAATGTCAGTATCATCTGATGAATTACACAATACCTCAAAAGACTTAAAATAAGGAAAGAACCAAGAGTTATTTCCAACTGTATTGTTCCAAAAAGGACATCGAGGTGAGAGTATTTCAT